TGTTATATTTTTTAAAGAAATATAGTAACTGTATATTAGGTTTAATGTCACCCCTCATAATGCTTTATTAGTTTTCAAGCTACATTTTGACATATTAAATTCTGATAGCAGAATACTGCATCTACTTTTCATTTTTGCTGATCAGGTCTTTATAGATCCTACGTTCTTCGGCATATTCGTTTGCGGTCCTTTGCAGTCCTTTGTGGTTAATGTTTGTACATTCTGGAAGCACTTGCGTCACTTTTGTTGACGTAATTTGATCAAAGTGAAACGGGAAAAATCTCATAGGCTTAACCTTTTCTTGATAGAAGAGTTGATTTTTGCTTTAGGTAAGTTTAGTGCAAGTCTTGTTATTTTCTGAAGAAAAGTACAATTGACTTTTACACTTAAACTTGTCTCACAAAATATGATATCCTTGTAGACTATTTCGTCGTGACAAATCAAGCGAACTTTCAAGACTACTCGGGAATTTTTATCTGAGGTAGGCATTGTATTAGCTGAAGTTACACTAGGACTCGAAGGTTCCTTTACCTTAGAAATGCATTCGGTTGTATACCTGCCAACTCTCACGCATCAAGGACAATTTCTCACGCTTGACAAATATTCTTTAATACATGATTAATAGCGAAAATTTAATTCGATTTCCACAAAAGTATTCCAAAAAGGCTTTGAACGATGACTTTCTGTCTTAACGAAATCAAAACACGGTAAAGTTGTTGTCTTTGAATATAGATCGTTTTCACTGTCACGCTACAAAAAAATAAATTGGAAACCGTCCAGTGGAAGCTAAGAAGCCAAGAAAATGAGGTGTTACAAAAGACTAATTTATGAACAATTTGTCCAAGTCTCAGGCCTTTGTGGCCCACAGTTTCTGAATTATTTGCCGAAACGTTTCACGCACCTTTGTAGAGCTATCTATGGAGACGCCATATTGGTGTACCGTTTTGGTGCACCAATATGGCCGGCGGAAATCAACAAAATCGGAGTTCATTTTTTCTGTAAAAGCTCTTTCTTTTCACTCGAGAACTGGCATACGTGCACGTAAACATGCTTTGTAATACTTGAAATGGTTATAGTGCTAAAAAAAATAAGAGGAGAGACTTTTTAGACTTTTTTCAACGAGACAGCATTCCTATATTTTTGTGTCACGCACTGTGAAAACTCGGTAGTTCAAATTGCCGTATTTTCGAAATGAAACATGCTACGGGAATGGAAACTTGAACAAAACTTTATTTTTTGTTTACCGTCAACCCAGCGTAAAGAAGAATTCGTAAAACCTCGCTATTTCAACTTTACAATTGGATGACGGCACTGAAAAAACCATTTATAGTTTCGAAAGTTCTCAAGGGTCGTCCGAACATCTTCGGAAGTTTTCGGTAAAGTTCAGAAAGCTTCGGAAAATCGTCGGAAATCCTAGGAAGTCGCTGGAACGTTTTCGAAAATCACGATCCTAGCAAGGCAAAAATTTCACGCATTTGACCCTGAAAAAGTTGGCAGGCGTATGGTTGTTAATCTCCGGGAAACTTTTGTCAAAGAACCGTAAAATTCCGAAAATAAGCCCAGGGGCATATATAACGGAGGGAAATTTGCGTCTCAATTCGATCGGGCTAGTTCACAGTTGGAAGGAAGGTTATGCCACTCAGTAATTTGAAGCAAGTTTTTACTGAAATTCGCCTTGAGGACGTAAACCTTTCTAAAACCTCAGCTGACTGCAATCATTTGGCACACGTAATTTAGTTTTTTTGCAAATGCAAAAATTTAAAATTATTTTATGTTTTACTGTGCAGTTTTTGCTTTGTTTTCTTTTGAATTTGAGGGCAATTTCCGAGTACAAGCCCCCGGGGGCTTGTGGAGGGGCGATTTATCGGAGGGTTTTTTTGCGTTACGATTTTGCAGGGCTTATATTTGGAGTGATGGCTAATAAATGGAGGGGCGTATCTTCGTAATTATACGGTATGTCTCTGTTTAATAAGGCCGTGTTGTCTAAGTATGATCTTCCAGATCGCAGGGGACTTTTTCAGCGATAGTACTGACTGGCCATCATGTACGATTTCCTCTCAGCCCTTTTACCCACTCTGTATACAGTTGAACCTCCATTAAGTGGCCACCTATTAAGCAGCCATCCTCCATTAAGTGGCCAGTAATCAAAGCCCCGAAACAAATGAAGAAAAAAAATGGGAAATTAACCCCAAGTTCACTTTCCGATGGTTGAGTGTTTTTAATGTTCCTGCTTGCCCGGTTTGTAGTTTGTTCCCAATGCAACAGCTTTAAAATTTTCAGTGGAAGGTAGATGAAAGTACAATGAGTAGATAGATGATTTTTATACACGGTGTTTAAACAATGGTAAATCTGTTTTTCTTTTTTAATTTCGACCATTATTACCAAAAGAATGTCTTTGCTTTTTTAGCGAAGACCCCAGTCCATCAAGTCACATTACACAGCGATAAAAAACACATAGAAGGATCGCTAGTTTATGGCAAACCAAATGCGACTGTGACAGACAAAAACGAATAATAAAGGAGCTAATAAATAAGCTTTACTCCAGGTTTTATTATTACTTTTCCCCTTCATTGTGATCGTACGTTATCGTACACCATATCTATACTTTTTTCAGAAGAGCTGAAATGGTGAAGCCAGCAAAAAATGTCAGAACGACAAATATCTTCTGAAAAAGCAGTAGAATTTATCTGCAATTTCTTCTTGGAATGGCTGAGAAAGGACAAACAGAGAAGAACTGTAATCTTGGAAACACTAACGTGACTGACAATGAAGTTGGAGAAAAAAGAGAGGAAGAAAAGGGAAATAGTAATATTGGCGACGCCTATGTCGATCTTAAAGATTTCAAGAACGCCATAAACTTCCTTCAAATAAACCTAAAATTTTTGAAAGAAGTAGGAGACAGGGCAGGAAAAGGAATAGAGTACTGTAATCTTGGCAACGCCTTTAGAAATCTTGGAGATTTCCAGAAAGCCATAGAGTACCATGAACGAGACCTCAAAATTTCGAAAGAAGTGGGAGACAGGGCACGAGAAGGAAAAGCGTACGGTAATCTTGGCAACGCCCTTAGAAATCTTGGAGATTTCCAGAACGCCATAGAGTACCATGAACGAGACCTCAAAATTTCGAAAGAAGGGGAAGACAGGGCAGGAGACGGAATAGCGTACGGTAATCTTGGCAACGCCTTTAGAAATCTTGGAGATTTCCAGAAAGCCATAGAGTACCATGAACGAGACCTCAAAATTTCGAAGAAGTGGAAGACAGGGCAGGAGAAGGAAAAGCGTACGGCAATCTTGGCAACGCTTATGACAGTCTTGGAGATTTCCAGAAAGCCATAGAGCACCATGAACGAGACCTCAAAATTTCGAAAGAAGTGGGAGACAGGGCAGGAGAAGGAAAAGCGTACGGTAATCTTGGCAACGCCTTTAGAAATCTTGGAGATTTCCAGAAAGCCATAGGGTACCATGAACGAGACCTCAAAATTTCGAAAGAAGTGGGAGACAAGGCAGGAGAAGGAATAGCGTACGGTAATCTTGGCAACGCCTTTAGAAATCTTGGAGATTTCCAGAAAGCCATAGAGTACCATGAACTAGACCTCAAAATTTCGAAAGAAGTGGGAGACAGGGCAGGAGAAAGAAAAGCGTACGGTAATCTTGGCAGCGCCTATGGCTGTCTTAGAGATTTCCAGAAAGCAATAGAGTACCATGAACGACACCTCAAAATTTCGATAGAAGTGGGAGACAGGGCAGGAAAAGGAAGAGCGTACTGGTAATATTGGCAACGCGTTTAGAAATCTTGGAGATTTCCAGAAAGTTATAGAGTACCATCAACGACACCTCAAAATTTCGAAAGAAGTGGGAGACAGGGCAGGAGAAGGAAAAGCGTACGGCAATCTTGGCAACGCCTATGATAGTCTTGGAGATTTCCAGAAAGCCATAGAGTACCATGAACGAGACCTCAAAATTTCGAAATAAGTGGGAGACAGGGCAGGAGAAGGAAAAGCGTACGGTAATCTTGGCAGCACCTATGGCTGTCTTGGAGATTTCCAGAAAGCCATAGGGTACCATGAACGAGACCACAAAATTTCGATAGAAGTGGGAGAAAGGGCAGGAAAAGGAAGAGCGTACTCTAATATTGGCAATGCTTATAACCGTCTCGGAGATGTCCAGAAAGCCGTTCACTATTATAAAAACAGTGTTATTGTCTTCGACCATATCAGAGGGAATCTTATATCTAATGACGAGTGGAAGATTAGTCTTGGGAGTTGGTATGATGATATTTATTTGAGACTATGGGGGCTGCAGTTTAAGCAAGGTAAAGTCGTCGAGGCACTTTTAAATGCTGATCATTGACGTGCGCAAGCCTTAAATGATCTTCTGGAGTTCAAGTATGGGTTCAAAGGGTTACGACCAGAAATACGAACACTCTCTGCGACAACACCTGACATTCTTAATTACCTACCATCAAATACAATTTTCATAGGAATCAACGAGAGAGGAATAGTTCTCTGGGTCAACGAGAAAGGAAAAGAAATCAAAACTAGAAGAATTCAGATCGATATGCCTGTTGCAACCTATTTTCAGTCTTTATTGGTGACTCCACATGAAAAAATAGGTGTGAGAGCTGATGTTAACTGTGAAGATCGCTCACTAAGGAACCGAAGCAAAAAAAGTTAGTAGAAGAAAGATCCAGTAAGCCAAGGTCTCATTCGTCATCGTTTGAGACAAAGTCATTACAAACATTTTACAATGTTGTTATAGACCCTATAAGAGACTTACTCCACAGCAACGAGGTTGTGATTGTTCCACAAGGACCTCTCTGTTTGGCGCCTTATGCTGCTTTCATGGACTTGAAATCAAACTACCTCTGCGAAACTCTTAGAATTCGTGTGCTTCCCTCACTTTCTAGTGTGCGATTAATCCAAAACTGTCCGTCAGATTGGCACCAAGACTGGTGCTCTTCTCGTTGGTGATCCGTGGGTACAGGAGGTAGTTTATGAAGAAATGAGGCTAGAGCAGTTAGAGTGGGCCAAAAAGGAAGTGCAAATGATCGGGGAAATACTTCAAACTGTACCTCTCGTTGGAAAGCAGGCAACAAAAGATGAAGTTTTGAGACGTATCTCTTCGGTTGCTTTGGTGCACATTGCTGCTCACGGTAAAATGGAAACAGGCGAAATTGCCTTGGCCCCAAACGCAAATAGGCAGTCCCTGATTTTAGACAAGGAGGATTGTCTCTTAACTTTGAGAGATGTTTTAAAGGCGCAGATTAGGGCAAGACTTGTTGTACTTAGTTGTTGTCATAGTGCTCGGGGAGAAGTCAAATCAGAGGGTGTGGTCGGCATCTCACGGGCATTTTTGGCCGCTGGTGCTCGTTCTGTTTTGGTGTCCCTGTGGGCGATCGACGACGAAGCTGCAATGGAATTCATGAAGTTTTTCTACCAACAATTAGTCCATGGACGAAGTGCCAGTGAGGCCCTGAATAAAGCCATGAACTCTACGCGAGAATCTGACCGCTTTAGCGCAGTGAAGTACTGGGCGCCGTTTGTGCTCATTGGTGATGACGTAACGCTTGAGTTTGAAAGGCATCGATTAAATAGTAAGCTATTTTGGGATATATTTTTCCCGAGATCAGGCGTTATTTTATTTTCTGTTATTTTTTTTTTTGCTTCTTGCTTCTTTGGTTTGAGAGGGAAAAAAATAACGTCAACCGCCGCCTAATTTACATAATCTAACGTCTGCTTGGCTTGTCATATTATTAGCGAATCAGCGTTTACCAGACGGGAATCCAATTTTGCAGGAATAATGTCTCTTTTCAAACCAATTTTAGGGAGAAGAAAATATTTAAGTACGTCTATGTTCAAATCGCGCTTCCTAAAGAACACTTTTTAAATGCGTTTTTTTTTGTAACGAAATACTGCTAGCTGGAGCTGCCGCACCTTTATTTAACAGCTACAAATAATAAAGAATTTATTGGTAAGAAAGCAGTGAAAAAAATAAGCTGAAGCACCATATTTCACGAAATGAAAAACTTTGTGAAAGCGAAGATCGCTCAGAATAATTGGCAGGTTTCTGAAGGAGGAATTACAGTCAAACCAGTCAAGATTCCATTCACGAATTGATTATTTGAAAAGTGAACCCGTTTGTCGCTTCTGTAACTTGTAGCCGGTATCAAATTGCATTCAAATAATCGGTGAATTTTTGACTGCAACTTTTTAGTACACGATGAGATGGAAAATATTTCAATGAATGAAATTTCTATTTACATATTTTTCAAATTCAAGAAAACTGAGCCGGCAGAAATTTCATAACGAACTCGCGTGTGTATTCGCTCCTCATCACGCAAGCAAAAATGCAGACCGAAATCAACGACAACTAAAGGTTGGAGGCATTTTGGCCATCGGAACGGCGCAAATCATCCGTATTGTTTCCTATCCAATCAGAAAAAATTCCAGATTCTGGCTTTTTAGCATGTGATCTGTGAAAGGATTGTATCATGCCCTCCTCCCGAAAACAGATTACAGAGATAAAGTGAGAGGGCATGATCGCAGGGTAGGATGTATTTAAACCAGGGATCATAATCCCCGCTTTTGCAAACGTCATTTCAGTGACTAGCAATTATTTTTGTCGCTTTATAGGGCAACGATCTCGACGGGTGCAACTTAACGTCAATCTACCTATCACAGGTCAAGCCGGGGAGGGGGGTTCTGCTATATATGGGCTATATAGGTATGTGCCGCTGTGAAGGGTATGGTTTTCAAACAGTTTACTCTAGGATAGGGTATATAAATCAGTGTGTTTGAGTCTAGAATAGGGTATCATTTTTCAGGAAACTGGTCACTTGGTTGAAGATTTTATGTAGACTAGGGAAACAGCTAATCTAGTATAGGGGGATTTTGGGGAGTTTACTCTAGTATAAGGTAGCAAAATTCAGCTGAACTAGCTCTGGTATAGGTTAGGGGTTCCAGGGTCTCAGCTGCACATCCCCACCCAAGGTCAAGTTTACAGCAACAAAGGAGTCTGGCAGAACGTTTGAGAGGGAGGAGGGACTTATTAAATTAAGCGAAGATTGTGGTGTCATTTCTCCATAAAAAAAAACTAGAACCTAAAGTAGAAATTAAAAGCTGAGGTATATGATGTTGGAGTTCATGAAGCCGAACATCAATATCAAATGCTAACTTCCACATGAAGTGCTACAGTCGTGATAAATTAATACATCTATCTTACATCTGTTATATAAGAATAGGGAGAGGGGGCTTGAAAGAGAGAGGGGGCTTAATAACTTTCTTTCCCTGAAAAGGGGATTTTATTATAGAGGGGGGCTTAATAGATGATTTATGGTATGCAAGATTCTTTTAATCTACAATAGCTCTAATCATTGGTTGAAGTTACCAATTTAGCAGATTTAGGGCGTTTTCCATTTACCGTGTTCCGTGTCCCAAATAAGAATAAATGGAATAAAGTCGCTAGAAATCACTTGTTTTGGCTTTCATTGTATTGCAATATCTACGAAAATGATTGAAATAAAGTATTCTGATCTATATAACTTTAAATGGTTCAAAGAGGTTTGTAACAATTTGCGTTTTCTTATTCCGGAATACGATCAATCGAGCGCACTCTTAGCGGTTAGTTGTCAAAATGTTATTTATTCCTTGCTAGCTAGCTTACTAACGTTGCTTTTTGCTGCTTTTGTTGTTATTGTATAGGTATGATGATGAAGACTGCAGTGAAACAGCCCTAATTATCTGAAGTTGAGTCAGTTTCTAATTTGTCACAATTACGAGGGGGAGCGTTCCTCGCAAGAATAGGAACACTTTATTCCAAAGATAAAATTATATGCCGTTAATGAATAAGTTGAAGCTTTTCGTAGTCTAAAAATTACAGTGTACGTTTTTTAGCTTGTTTTGCGACTAGTCGTGTGCACTAGAAACTTGTTTTATAGTCACCTGAAAAATATCAGGAATCAGTAGTCAATTTCGGCTATTTTCATTGTTATACCGGCATGTTTTTAGTGCTAAGTTAATGCTTACTGCGTCCCATAATCATTGTAATCATAACTATAACAAAATTTTCAAATCTGATTGGTTATCAACTGCCCTGATTTCAGCCTTAATAGGACAGTACGCGTCCTGCCTAAATAATTGGACATTACGTACGCGCCATCACTCGCGCGCTTAAATGCCGGCTTTTTTTCATTGCTAGCAAAAAAAATCTAAGAATTTCTTGTGTTTTGATTTTAAAAAGAGCCTTATATTTGACAAATTTTGTTAAAGTTATGATTAATTGGTAACAGAACTTCGTGTCGTTTAATTCGGTCTGTAATCGTACTCGTGATTAAACAAATCGAACTCTCGCTGGGCGGTCGTCCGATCACTCGTATGAGTACAGACCGAATTGGACTCCACTCAGTCCTGTTGCCATTCTTAATCCAATCATGTATAATGTATAGGGATAAAATACACAAAACTGAGCTTAAATTTTGTCTTGAATCAAAATGTTTTAAGTGATTTGTTTGTTATTATTGGTGGAGTACCTGTAAACTAACTAAAACACCAAGTGCACTTGCACTAAAAAACCCGCGTGTAAGAACCTAGTCAGTTTAAGAACCTCGTAGAAATTTGCCATTTAATACCAAAAAAATACAATATTACTTCATTCACTTTATCGTCAACATGAAGATGTCAGTATAAAACAAGCAGAATGACAACAAGTAAGACAAGACGCTCTGTGAGTGTATATTTGGGCGTCGGTGCACTAGGCGTGTGTGAAGTTTTTTATGAGTATTGGGCATGTCTAAGCAGTGCAGTAGCGTTGCATATTTTGGGCGTTGGTTGAGATGCGTGAAGCGGAAGGTGTGGACTTATATTGGACTTGGATTGGTAAGATAACTGCAGTTTGTTAATCAGTGAAACTGGTTTCTGGTACAATTTGCTATGAAGTAACAAAAAATATTATTTTGGAAGGTAAAAGTGATTTTGGGTGTTGCAGAGAGGTACGGTTGTGAGAGTGCTAATGTGGTTATGAAGGGATAGTGTAGTTATAGTCTGTTGAAATGAAGTAGTGTTTGTGAAAGGTGTTATCAATGGTCGAAAACATACTTGTACTTATTTTAAACGATGTTACGCTTTCTGTTCAGGATTTTTTTTCGGTTATTTTTGATAATACTTGTATGGAGAGAACGTGGATAAGTGCAAGTTATAGAGACGGGGGTATGAACATGTTGTGGGGGGGGCTGAAATTTTGTGTGTGTGTTCGCGGGACTTTGAAAAAATCGGTTAGGTCAAGGAAAAGGGCGTAAAATCTGGCTATAGAACTAAGGGCCTGATTACATGAGGCGGGCTGGCTGGCTCGATCTCTTTGCTGAGATCTCGGCGCCTTAGTTAAACACAACAAAAATCAACTTTGCCGTTATGTGACAACTGTTAAACAGTAAAAATGAAAGCGATGAAAAATGTTCGTAGTGCGCATGTTTTGACTTAAAATTATTAAAGGCATTCTATTCGGTGTTTGGGATTTTTTACAAAACTTCATTCTAATTGGGAAATATCTATAGGTGAAGGGAAATATCATAAAAAAAAGAAAGTTGTTGTAAGCGTTCTTGTTGATTGACTTTAGTAAGCTATTTCACTACTAATAGTTTTGACTTTTAAGTTCAATAACTGATGATCGATAGAAAGTTTCTCCTGACGTGAATTCGGTGCAAAGGAGATGTATCAATTTCATGTATCTCCGCAGTAACTCTTCTATTCAAATATGTTTAATTAGAGCCTTTGACAGATGGCAAAGCCTTGTTTATATCAAGTATTTTGTTCAGTTTAACATTTTTTGACTTTAATCTGGTCTTCCGTCGATATTTACCAGGAAATGACCACCTTGCTTGTTTTTAACTGTTTTAGTGTGCTTCCTTGAGTTTTTAACCGAATTCATGGCAGTGGATAACTAATTAGATTTAAGTGACTTTCTAGGTGTTTTTGTGGGTAAACAACTATTGTTCTAAATTCCGCCCTGCACTTTGAACTGCATTTTTAATTTACCCTCTGAGTTTTGCGACCACGTCCGTTGTTAATTTATGGGAAAGTTTTAATCAATCATTTTCACTAAAGAAGCCTAACACCTCTTGTAAATCGACAACAGGCTAAGATTTTGAAACTGTAATTTTAGTACTTTCTTATCTGTTGTTATGAAAAGTTTGAGTATGACCAACTACTTTGCAGTTTTTATATTGTTCTCCTGGTTTTGTATTGGCCAGTTGACCTAAGCTTAATGAAAACTTAGGTTTTTATATTACAAAGTGATTATCTCGAAGGTTTCATGCTAGTAAGGCTGTCTCAAACAATCAGATTAGACTTACGTCAGGATTAGTTTACACTAAGCAGATGGTTTTCTGGCCGGTATAAAAATGGGTGAAACACTTATTTACCAGAGAGAAAATTGTAAAAGCTAGTAGCTGAAAGTGATTAAACCACCAGTGAGTCAGAAAAAGGTTGTAAGGGCCAGCTGGTCCCCTTCGAAAGTCCTTGCAACACAACCGAGCCAGCCCGGTTAGCTGGCATCCAAGTATTGTGATGCCGAGATCCCGGGTG